GTAATTTGATTCAAACTATATCATTGATGAGGAAGCCATTTTATTGTAGAATAGATGATGGATGCAGTGATGTGTTTTTGTGATTGACAGATAAACTGACTCAGCGGCTGACTTCCATAATGAAGTTGTTATACCGAGGTCTCTCAGTAGCCAGTGTGAGAATCAGATCCAACTCTGTGCGCAAAGTTTTTCTGGCTTTAATATTGCTGTATCTTCTTCTTGTCCGTATTGACCCGGGTAAGAGATCCGCTGGCCATTTTTATGCAGTGCATCCTCAATAATTACTTTGAGAATGATTGACTGTCATTTTTCTGCTATTTCTCCGCTCTCAGCTCTGCCCTCAGCTTTCCCGTGGCTGCTCCGCCTGCATGGACTCCTTCAGCAGACGTGGAACACCATGTTTGGACCTTATTACAGAGCCAACACCCGGAGTTAGAGTTTTAATGGTGTTATCCTGGAACAAACTGTGAAACAATGTTGCCATCCCAAATTTGTAATACTTAATACATCCTGTGTTTGCCATGAGCATCACTTTTTGGTGCACTTACTTACATTATAGATAAATAAATCATTGAATTATATCAAACTACTGATAACCTATTTAAAATGGATGGTATCCTGGAGAGAAATATTTCATGCAGATCAAATGTAATTTTATTATATAATAAAATGTGTAAATATGGTTTTGAATGTTCATGTGGATCTGGGCTTGTGCTGCAGACACAGTATGTAACTTATATTAACAACTGTTTATTGTACTTCACATTGAATGGTCATGGTTAAGACTTGTACTAAGTTTTATTAATATGTACTTTTCAAATGCACTTTTATTAAATTATTAAGAATATACAGACTAAAAGGTCTGAGGTTTATACCAGGGTTATTAACTAATATTAAAACCATTAAAAAAAACTTTATTTCAGCTTTATTTCTCATTTTTAATGTGAATGCTAAAATAACTAAAACGAATAAATATAGACATTTCTAAAAAAAAAAATAGAAATATTAAAACTTAAAAATTAAAATCTAATTTTTAAATTTCTAATTTTTCAAATCTAATTCTAACAAAACCCATAATAGTATATTAATGATAGTAAAATAACACTGGTTTAAATACATTAAATATAAATAGTCCGTATATAAAATGTGTTATTAGAGTTTCCTGATATTTCTGTTGATTTAAAAAAAAAATAGTGATTAAATTATGTTTGTTAATAATAATACTAATAAAAACTTAAAAAATATTACCTAGTCATTTATTCAGAACTGGGTGTTAGTTTCGCATCTGTGACAGAAACTGACGCATGAATTGAAAGTGAAAGTAAAATCAGCTGTTTCTGTTTATGTCTGTATGAAACTGCTTGTTACGCTACGAGTAAAACGGGAGCTGAAGTATCTTGAAGAGGGTGAATATTTAGTCAGCTTAGTTTGATTTTCTAAAACCAATGCGCAGTTTAATTTCGACGGTGTCAAAACAACAGGTTTCCATAGATACAACACCGAGAAGCGTTTGCAGTCGTATATGTGTGGATGGGGAAGAATTGGAGTAAAATGGATTATCCACTATACAAACGCTCTGTATCATTGGATTATGGTAGGTCAACAGAGACTTGCATACATCATAGTACATAATTAAAAAAAAATACTGCTACTGTAACTACTGTCATTTCAGTCTTTTGAACCATTTTTTTTTTAAGTTTATCCAGAAATGCTGGAACTAATAATGATCTTAAATATGATCTGTTGTTTCAGAAGTGAGAGGCCTTTTAAACTACAATCTGTCCTGCTGTGTAAACGCTTTGCTTCAATCCTTTTCTGCCACCACTGAACTACTGGACATACTGAACAAGTAAAGCTCTATTATCTTTTAAATAAGATGCACTCTTTGCAAATTAGCCATGTTTCATTTGTTGAAAATGTACTCATTCTCTGGACATCCAAGATGTAGAGTTTGTTTCATCATCAGAACAGATTTGGACAAATGTAGCGTCACATTACTTGCTCACCAATGGATCCTCTGCAGTGAATGGGTGCCGTCAGAATGAGAGTCCAAACAGTTGATAAAAACATCACAATAATCCAGAAGTAATCCACACCACTCCCGTCCATCAGTTAACATCTTGCGAGTGAAAAGCTGCATGCTTGTAAGAAACAAATCCATCATTGAGGCATTACAATTCTATAATCAGTAAAAAACACTTCCTCCAGTAAAAAAGTCCATCCCCTGATGTCCCCTCACATCAAAATCCAACGACAACTGTTTTGTACTGTTTTTCTTCCTTGATTTTTGCATATTTCTCTCCTGATTCCAACTAGATGACTTTTTTTCACTGGAGAAAGCAATATTATGGATAGAGGACTCCTGTTTTAGCCAGATTCAGTGGGTTGAAGTTAAAAATATACTGATAAATTTGTTTCTTACAAACACAATTTTTTTTAATTTTGTTTTACAAGACATTAATTGATGGACTGGAGTGGTGTGGATTATTGTGATGTTTTTATCAGCTGTTTGGACTCTCATTCTGACGGCACCCATTCACTGCAGAGGATCCATTGGTGAGCAAGTGATGGAATGCTACATTTCTCCAAATCTGTTCTGATGAAGAAACAAACTCATCTACATCTTGGATGGCCTGAGGGTGACTAAATATTAATCAAATTTTTGGATGAACTATTCCTTTAAAGATGGCATCCATCAGATGGGATTGATAAGAGTAACGTCCCACTGCAGTTGAAGAATACCCTGGAAGCCATGAGGGACAAATCATATCCTGCTCCACACAAAGACTTCCTCAACTGCCTCTACCGTCAAGCCATCCGACGTATGTGTCATATCACCCTAAAATCTTATACTTGTGGAAATAATGTCGCTCAGTTGTGTCGTTCTGTCATTGTGCTGTAGGGTTCACTCAGCAGGATGCAGATGAAATATTCCACATCATCCTCAATCTCAGTCAGAAGCAGATACCTGATGCTGCTCTGGTGGGTTTTCATTAAAAATCGATGCACATATTTTAAGTATGTACTGTTATGTCTCAGTGTTAATGAGAGTGATCAATTATGTATGGTAAACTCTTTGTTTTACTCTATCAGGCTCAGGAAATCTGCAGTCTCTATGAAATAAAGGTGGAGACCCAGGTGGGGTGTTTAAATTGCAAATTCATCCAACGAATGCCCAACTCTCTTTTCAGCCTTCCTTTGGCGATCTGTGAAAGGGAAAACTCCTTGGTAAGCACATTAAACATTCATCAATGATATCTTGAAAATGAAAATTCGGTTATCATTTACACACCCTCAACTTGTTCCAAACCTGTATGAGTTTCTTTCTTCTGTTAAACACAAAAGAAGATATTTTGAAGAATGTGGCAAACCAAACAATTGCTGGCATTGACTTTCAAAGTATGGACAAAAATACTATGGAAGTCAATGGCTACCAGCAACTGTTTGGTTACCAACATTCTTGAATCAACATTCATTTTTAGTCATTGTGCGTCAGTAATATACATTGTAATATATATGATCTTGAGCAAATCATACATAATTCTTCCTCTTCATGTTCTTCAGGAAAGCTGCATCAACTCTTTTTTCCAGCTACAAAATCTGGCGGACAGTGAGAAGGTTTACTGCGACAACTGTGAAAAAAAGCAGCCGTCCTCTTATGTGTGTGCTTTATTTGTTATTGCATTATATAACAGTTTCATCTTTAATAATTACATTTCTGATAGTTTAATTGATTTCATGTGATGATACAGCAAATTCAAGTAAGAATTTAACTGTCATATTGTAATGCTTTGTGAGTTGATTGTTTTGATTTTCTGACATTTTCATTAATTGTCATGTAGGAGGTGAAACTTGTGTCATTGCCTCCGATTCTGTGTGTCCACTTGAAAAGATTCAGAAACGATGATGGCTTCACCAAGAAACTCTACGACAAAGTCACCTTCCCTGAAACGTTTAGCACTGCCATTTTTGCTGCAGGACAATCAGAAAAAGTATGTTTAGTAGATATTTAGTAAAGTAGCATGCAGTCAAAATAATATTGCCATATATGCTTGATTTGTTGTATGCTTGTTTTAGGCTGATTGTCTCAAGGCTGATGAGCATTACAGTCTCTATGCAGTAGTAGTGCATATGGGAAGTACCATGTCTGGTCACTACACTGCTTTCATCAGTTCATATCAGGACTGGTATTACGCTGATGACAGCTGCGTGCAACCAGTAAGAAATAGTGACAGCCTGATTTAACTAGTATCTGAAATAGTTAAGAGTGTTATGTAACTGATACTTATATGCAATTGTTTTGTTTATCTCAGTCCACATGGAAAAATGTGCAGGGCACATATGGAGGGTACCGTCGGCGCTATGGGTACGTTAAACATCAATAACCATAAACCTATATAGCTTCTCACAGGCACTTCAAAGGAAAGCAAAACACAAATGCAGACCTTTTAAATAATTACTTCCAAGACATCTTCCAGGTTTTAATTATAATTTTGCATGCTGTTTTTAGAGAGACAGCCTACCTGCTTCTGTATAGGAAGAAGAGCTGGAATTCATCTGGATAACTGTTGGGAACATGCACTGCAGCATTTGATGAACACTAGATGAATTAATGCAGAGAATATTCCAAGAACAGGACTGAAGTCTATTTATATTTTGGGTATAAGTATGAAGAGGGGTGTTTAAGAATGTAAATCAGTATATTTTCATGTTGATTGGGGTTTATATAGGACAGTATTTTGGATAGGATTATGCTATTTTGCCAGTGCATATTTTGTGGAGTTTATGGATATTGTTAAATAAAATGATAACAATATGTTTTGAAATAAGGTTGTTGGTGATCTCAAGTTATTGCTGTAAAGCTGTAATATAAAAATACTGTGCGAAAAGACCATGTTTTCTCCAGTTAAAACACATCTAAGGTTTACAGCCCACATAGTTGACTGGTTCAAAACTACAGTGAGACTTTTATTTTGAAAAAATGCAAAGACGGAACCTGGCTTTTATTTTGGAAAGCGTCCATATCATGGCATTTTCCCCGCACGTCCTGGTAAACAGCTCTATTATGATCTTGTAGGTGAGCAAACATTGTCATAAACCATATTTCTTACAGAAAACTTTACTACCCAGCTGAAGATGACTTTATCCATTCAATAGATCGGCTTTTAGCACCTTAATAAACTATAAAGTATGACAATACAAAATAAGTAGAATTATATTCAAGGAGAATTTTAGTCCACATTTTTGTGTTAATTGGGTGTTGCATGCTACTGAATACAATAGGCATTAAATTGTGGTGTATTATTGTTTGTTCTCTGTCTGTTTTAGGTTTATTCGCTATCTCAGGATAAAGAGAGATAAATTCAAATGAGTAATCCACTGAGAGGAGAAGTTATAAGATTGTACAAAAATGTAAGCATAATTTTTCTGTCAGTTTCCTTTTTTGATCTGTTCTTTTCATATGAAATGTTGTCCAGTGGTACTTTGTCATCCTTTATTGGACATAACATTGCATGGCAGCAGAGTCACAAAATGAAGAAATGTAAAATTGTAATGATGACTATCCATTGCTTGGGCAATGCATTTCTTTTCTGCAGCTTCTGTATCTTGGGCGGGAATATCCAAAAGGCACTACATACTTCAGGGAGCGTCTGAAAGCAGCTTTCATGAAGAACAAAGATGTCACCGAGCCTGAGAAAATCAAAAAGCTGGTTGACCGTGGAGAGTTTGTGATCAAAGAACTCGAGGCGCTTTACTTCCTCAGGAAATACAGAGCGATGAAGAGGCGCTACTACGAACCAGAGCATTAATCGATGTTTCTGCCAGACTGTATATGTGTCAAAAGTGAAATCACTACTTTCTGCACGTTTTTGAATGTCTGTGTTTGATGTGTTGCACTACAACAGATTTGGACGTAAACATTTATTTTTACTACTTCTAAGTCCTTGTTAGATATACAATAGGCAGTTATTTGTAATGACAATTACATATGTATTTATATTTAAATACATTTAAGTTTTATGATGTTCTAAGCAGGTCTTTGTGTAGACATCTCTACATCACAGAAAGCAAAGTTGGTTTTTCCAAAGGATTTCTCCAGCTCCTGCACCAGGTCAAAATTTCCTGCGCTACTGGAAACCTTTTAGTGCAAATAATTGAAAATGATCAGATAGATGGGAATAGTGTGAGTATGTCTGTCCATTTATACATATGTATTTATATATATGCATTAAAGAATATGCTCACTTTTGCTTTGAGTACATTGTAGGCTTTGTAGAAGGTGAGGTCTTCTTTTGATAGTGTAAGCCCAGACTGCACTTTCATCTGTCTGCCGCCTTGGAGACAAATTTTGAAAACATCAGTTACTTTGAACAACGACAGCAGGGTGCTTCACCTATCAGAAAGTCTCATACCTGAAAGTATGCTGACAATAAAACCCACGGTGATGACCGTCACAGTCCCCAGTGGGCCGAAGTACAGGTATGAGAGTGAGTACCAGTTATCAGCCAGGAAAGGCCTGTTAGGAAATAGATATGGTTATGTAACAGCCAATAGATTTTGACTCAACTGATTTTTGCAACCCACCTTTGCTCTTTCAGTATGAAGTCGTCTATGTTTGCAGTCCAGTTAGTGCCACCTGAGAAGTTACAGCCGTGTGTCATCAGAGCCAGCGGTCTGCTGTTCTCTGGTAGTGGAGGGTATATCTGTGCCCCGATGCACACCCACAGTGACAGAGCCAAACCAGACACCAGCCCTGCCAAACCTCCCTAAAACATCCACACTTTTAAAGGAATAGTTTGAACAAAATCGCTGAAATGTTACTCCCATTCAGACCATCCAAGATGTAGAGTTTGTTTCTTCATCAGAACAGATTTGAATGTAATTTAGAATTCCATCACTTGCTCACCAGTGGATCCTCTGCAGTGAATGGGTGCCGTCAGAATAAGAGTCCAAACAGTTGATAAAAACATCACAATAATCCAGAAGTAATCCACACCACTCCAGTCCATCAGTTAATGTCTTGTGAAGTGAAAAGCTGCATGTTTGTAAGAAACAAATCCATCATTAAGATGTTTTTAACTTCAAACTGTTGCTTCCAGCTAAAATGAGTCATCTATCCATAATATTGCTATCTCCGGTGAAAAATTTGTCTTTTCTGAATCAGGAGAGAAATAAGCACAGATCAAACACCGTTTACAAGCTAAAACACTTCTAAACAAACACGTCGGTGGATTTTGATGTGAGAGGACAACAGGAGATGGAATTTTACACCTGAGGAAGTGTTATTATGGATTATTATGGACGCATATTTTGGCCAGAAGCGATGGTTTAAAGTTAAAACCCCTTAATGAAGGATTTGTTTCTTACAAACGTGCAGCTTTTCACTTCACAAGATGTTAATTCATGTACTGGAGTGGTGTGGATTACTTGTGGATTGTTGTGATGTTTTTATCAGCTGTTTGGACTCTCATTCTGACGGCACCCATTCATTGCAGAGGATCCAAGTCATGTCATGCTAAATTTCTCCACATCTGTTCAGATTAAGAAACAAACTCATCTACATCTTGGATGGCCTGAGGGTGAGTTAAATTTTTTTTTGCAAATTTTCATAACATTAAAATCATTAATCATTAGCCATGCTAACCTTTGCATTAGCGCAAGGAAACAGGATGCCAAGAGAAAAAAGGCCCAGTAGAGGTCCGCCAGCCACTCCTGCGATACTAATAGCAGCCTGTTGAGAAACAAACGGACAGGAAAATTAGGACTATACCATCATTCGCCCCCTAATGTCACATAATTCATCAGTAACCCACCTGTAGCATCCCTCCCATTAAAGATGCAACACCAGCCATTCCGATGCACACGGCACCATAAAACAAACCTGTGTTTAGGGAATATCATCTAGTTAAGTAGGTAGTATCACTGTTCATGCATTAATGTGAAGATATGCACTCACTTATGCCCTTTGAAGACCAGGACAGTTGCCTTTCTGACAGACTGAAGTACGGCCGAATCAGATCTGCAATAGTTACTGCAGCCAAAGCATTTACACTGGAGGAGACTGTACTGTAGACAATAAAGATGATATAATACAAGCTTAAAATGATCATTTGATAAATGTGGTACAAAAATGACTCACTCGGGTAATGTTCCAGTGTCATTCCCTCTTGCATTTAATCTTGGTGATACATGATGTTGTATGTATCTGAGATTTATAAATGCTGTAGAAGTATTGTTCAATGCTACACTTAAAAATAAAGGTTCCAAAAGGGGGGTTTCACGGCAATACCATAGAGGAACCATTTTTTGGGTTCCCAAAGAACCTTTCAGTGAACAGTTCTTAAAAGAACCATTTTCCTTAGTGTGAAGAATATTTTAAAATTCTAAAGAAGCTTTTTCACACTATAAAGAATACACTATAAAGGTTCCATGGATGCTAATAAAGACTAACGACAAATGAAACTTTAATGTAAAGTGTTACCCAATTTTATATTTCGCAATGTTTTAGTAGACATGGAATATGTAGCACAAGAGTTGTAGTTTAATGTTGTACTTTTTGGAGTCATGCTTGTATGGCAGAGCTGCTTGGACATTTTGCTAAATATCTCCTTTTGTGTTCCACAGAAAACAGAAATTCATATGGGTTTGGAACGACATTAGGGTGAGTAAATGATACATTTTATTTTTAGGTTGAACTAGTTGTCTTAATAGAGAACAAACCTTAATGTGCCACTATATGCTGCTGCCACAAACAGTCCTGGCACACCAGGATATTCGCTCAGGATGTCCAACACCAGGTATGGCATAAGCTTATTGCATATTATAGAGAGAGACATTAATGTAGCATATTCCAGATTGATAATGTTATTTAATATATAATATATAGTATTTTTTTATAGAAATATATAAAGGTTATTAGGAGTTTTAGTAACATGCACAATTTTTGCATTTGAGATGCATTGTCGTGGTTTGTACCTGGTCCAGAGCAGACACCTTTCTTGCTGTCCATGGATCACAATTCTTATAAACGGAGTATAAACACAAGCCACAAAACACTGAGCATATTGATATAGCCCAGAGAGACACTAAGTTTATGTATAAAGCCCTGGATAGAGACAAAAACACAGACAAAAGTAGTTCAGATACATATTGCATTCCTTTTAGCGTGAATTTGGGTTTTATGATTTGTGCAATGCTCACATTTTAGCATGGAACAGGGACTTGCATGATATGTATCTTTGCACCTGAGCTTGATTGATACCATAGACACTGGTCCAGAGGAACGTCCCTCCCACTGTGATGCTCCAGAATGTGTGTCTCCTCAGGGGGTTCGGATCAAAGCTGAGAGGGTCGGACACAGCATGAGAAAGGCAAGTTTTTAAAGGTGCAGTATAAGCGATTTCTGAGAAATGCTGTTGATATTTGAAATCACCAAAACAAACACGCCCCTTCCCAAAAGAATCACACCCCTATCTTGATAGCTCCGCCCCCAAATTTAAGAAACATGCTATTCAACACAGGCACCTCCCCCATCACTACTGGACATGCCCCTTACTGGTGATTGGCTACAGGTGTGTTTTGGTGCTCGGTCCGATCCACTTTCAACAGTGTTTCTCAGAAATCACTTACTGCACCTTTAAAGGGACAATCCAGGCAAAAATGAAAATTCTGTCATCATTTACTCTCCCCCATGTCGCTCCAAACCTGTATGAGTTTCTTTCTTCTGCTGAACACAAAGGAAGATATTTTGAAGAATGTTGGTAACCAAACAATTTTGGTTCCCATTCACTTCCATTATATATTTTGACCATAAAATGGAAGTCAATGGGAACCGAAACTGTACAGTTATCAACTATGCATTATATGCATTATCTTTTATGTTCTGCACAAGAAAGAAAGTCATACAGGTTTGGAATGACATGAGTGTGAGTATTTGATGACCCAATTTTCATTTTTGCCCAGACTCTCCTTTAAATTATGCATTCTTGTACCTGTCAGTAATGTGATAACTCACTCCCATAGGTTGAGCCGGCCTCCCTGGGTGGAGTCACTGATGATAGTGGAGATCCCGCCCTGCAGCAGCACCGATTGGACGATGACAGCCAAGAGCCCAGCCAACATGATGCCCACCTGGAATACATCCGTCCACACCACTGCCTTCAGACCGCCCTGCCAGGGTAAAGGGACAGTCCTTTGTGATGCACATTTTAATAAATATACATTATATAAACATAAAATGGCAATTCTAAAAAGTGTTGCTACTGTATAATTTTAATATAACAGGGATTCTCAAACTTTTTTTGTCAGCTGAACCCCTTAGACTTGATTTAACAACACATTTTTATGCTCATGGTTCTCTGATGTTGATAATAATAATAATAATAATAGTACGTATTATTATTAGTAGTAGTAGTAGTATGTTTTAACTCTAATTATAAAAATAAAGACAGAAATATATAAAATTACGCAGCACAACATACTATACAGTTATTTAATTAAATTTTAGCTCTTAATTTTATAATTGAACTAAGCTATATAGGGATTATTGTGCAGCCCCATTTTTTTATTTTAATTTTACATTCAATATAATTAATTACCAGTTTATCAACTCATGAACCCTCACTTGGGAAACTTGTTTAATATAAAGCAAATATGCATAGATAATTTTTTGGATTTTATACGTTCAGTCAACAATAAGCATGGGGCAAATCTTAAATCTTTTATACATAAAAATATTATTTTTCAATATTCAAAAAATATTATTTTGCAATATTAAAACCCATTGTGCTGTACAATTTGTTGCTTGAGTTTCGAGTGGACTAGGTAGTAACCTATTTTTATGGAGCCCTAATAAAATGGAGAGACTTGAATTTGACACTTGAGTAATTAACCATATTCCGTGACTGTTTGAAATGGCAATGTATGCAATATATTATGAGGATATTGTACATACTGTGAATTTATTTAGTGCTCTGTACATCTTGCATATTTTCACTCAACATGTTAGTAGTATCTTAATGATACTAAAATAACACTACTCTCTTTCTAACTTACTAATGTACAGTAGAGAGTGCAGACGACTCCGGTCGAAATGACGGCACCCCAGAGATCTATACCTGTGACTGAGAAGTGGAGAGAAGTTCACTTGACCAGACAGCACTGTGCACTATCAAGCATACTTGTTACACCATACACTCCACAAGTAAAGCCATTTGACTTACACACTTAAAAATAGAGGTTCTTTATGAAGAACTTTATCATTCATGGAACCTTTCCATTTCCATTCGTTCTTTAGATTATTAAAATGTTAAGAATAAATGGTTCTTTTAAGAACTGTTCACTGAAAGGTTCTTTGGGGAAACAAAAAACATTCTTCATGGCATTGCTGTAAAATTCTCATTTTTTAGACCTTTATTTTTAAGAGTGAAGGAAGCAAAATAGAAACATCTGCAAAAAAATCCTACCTTGGTTTAAAGCCAAAGCCGGGGCGTAAATAACCAGACCTGTGTATAGGACCTGAGAAGAGATGGAAAATAGTACATTGAATTTACTGTATGATTTAATAAGACTGATAGTAACAAGAAAACACTCACTGTCTGTATGATAAACAGGACTGTCCCAAATAGTCTAATTACTTTATTGTAACGCATCTCCAGATACTGCAAACAAAGGGAAAAAAAATGATTACATTGCATAAGTTGCAGAATCAATGCATTATGGAAGCGTTTTAACATCATTAATATGTTCTTCCTCAATAAACTCACTATTTTAGATTACCAATGAAATGTTTTAATGCCACATTGAATTTTTTCCTGTCATCTCACCTCATAGGTGCTGGTTATTCCCAGTCTGTAGAAGATCGGCAGGAAAATCTCAGAGCTCACAGCCACCATCAGAACATAAGAAAAGCAGATGAGGATGAAAATGGCTCCGTGCTGATACACCTCCACCGGAGTCCCCAGAACGGTGATGGCTGACATGAAGCTGGCTGTCAGGGACAGAGCCACCGGCACCGCTGTCATACTCCGTCCACCCACCAGAAAGTCTGCGGAGCTGCTCTGACCTCTTCCAGCGAAGGCGTAGTAAACCCCGATGCCTGCTGAGATCACCAGCATTAAGCTGAAGACCACATAGTCCCACACACTGAAGGACGTCGCACTTGACATCTTTGTGCACGTCTGAACTTCTTTAACAGGGTCTCTTGATTTTACAAGGAAACCTTTGTGGCTCTGTTTGCAAAATATTATCGGTGACCATCAGGAACTTACTCATTGAAAGCAGATTGTTAGGTCAGAGATTGTGTTAAGACAGAAAGAGATGTTTGTTCAGTCAGAGGGAGGCTCTGCCAAAGTTACTTACTGTGATTGTTCCTGGAGCTGCATGCTTGTCATCATCCCACCCCTATCACATTCTTTCCTCCTTACTTACTGCAGTTGGACTGCAATGTTTTTTTTTTTCTCTAGTTATCAGATAATGCGTTTATTCTTGTGTGTGAGATACAAATAGACCATTCACTCCCTATTAATAACAAAAGCAGCCTAATGTTATTAACCTCCCAATATTACTAATCTTTGTCTGTCTATTTATACAATACAACTTTATTAGTACTAGAGAACAATTGGGAGATGTGGAGATGATTTTTAGCATAAAATAAATAGGATTATGAATAATGCAATTAGAACATGTTAAAGAAATAACATGTACTATGAACAAACCATTGACTAAAAATAAAAATATATCTATACAACACATTAATAATGTATAATATTTTCATATTTCTAATTTAACCATCGACCAAAAAAAAAAAAAAATCTGTACAACACAGAATAAATAGAATTAAAATTAAATAGAAAATGTTGTACATTTTATTTATCTTATATATAATTTAATTTATATTTTTATATTTCTATATTATTGTATAACACAAGTGATCCGCTGGAATAATTTCAAAACTCTTGCTATAGACGAAAAAAAAACAAAAAAACTTAAGTATCGCTCAAAACAAGATAAAATCTTTCCAAATACTTTTTCAAATAAAGAAGACTTTTATTTTGATAAACAGTAAAACTCTCCACTTTATCCATAATGCGTCATTCAAGATGGTGGCCTCCTGATACGGCATGCGTGTTAACAATTTCACAGCCATTGATAACGTATTTTGTCTTTTAAATCACGGGGTATCCATACATTCTGTATTTGGAGGTCTGATAATACAGCAAAATGAAGCTCAAAGCCAAGCCCCCATCTCATAAATCAGAAAACACGTACCGCGTAAGTTTACGGTGAAACGCATGCTGGAAACTGCTGCTCATGCATCTGACAAACATTACGATGTTTTATTTCATATACATAGCGAAACGAAATGCGCTTTACGTATTACACATCTGTAATTTCAATTTTAAAATGTTTAGTTTATAAAGTTGAATATGCACGTCGTTTAATGCAAATAAGTTTCCAGATATAATGTCTTTTGATGCATCAATACTTTACGTTTATTTTCCAGTTTGTGACGTTTTCTGAGAGGCTCGCAAAAGTAAACATTGATGTCATTCATCGCATTGACAGGACTGGAAGTTATACAGAGGTATTAATCTTGTTTATATCAGATAACATAACTATTTAATAGCAACATTATAGTAGCTAATGTGTATGTGGTAAATTCTGCTGCTTATTTTCTCAGGAGGTAGAAACCTATTTTTATGAAGCCCTAATAAAATGGAAAGACCTGAATTTGACAGATCACTTCAGTAAGTAACATGTTCTATGACCGTTTAATGTGGCAGTATGTACTGTATATTATGAGGAAATTGTACATACTGTTGATTTATTATATAATATGACCTGTACATCTTGTATGTTGTCAGGGTTGTTATTAATCAACTATAAAAATTCAAAAACTAAAAAAAATTCATTACTGGAAATAAAATATAAAAAAGTAGGCTTTTTATTTCAGTTAGTTGAAAACATTTCTAATTTCTAAATAACTAAAACTGAAATAATAATGATTTTAAAAACTATATAGACATTTACTAAACAATTACTACAATAAAAATAGAAAATATTAAAAACATTCTAATTATGAATAAAAACTCTAATAGTATCCCAATGCTACTAAAATAACAGGTTTCTCTCTTGTATATGTTGTAGTGACATTAAAGTGATTTGGTTTAGATTATTAATCCAATCGTCTGTTCTTACAGAGAAGATCTTTCAAGAGGTGTTAAGCAAGAGTCAGTCTTTCAACATGCTGGTGTTTCACCAAAACGCTGTTGTGGAGAGTCTGAAGACCCACCTGTCAGTGAAGAACAGCATGGCTTACCAACCTCTTCTAGAGTGAGTTCCTCTCAGTTTTTTTTTTTCTTTTAATTAACAGGCGGATGATATTATGTTAACCTGACTATTACTTTCAGTCTTGTAGTTCAGCTTGCTCGCGACCTCCAGATGGACTTTTACCCTCACTTCTGCGACTTCTTCATCATCGTCACGTCTATACTGGAAACACAAGACACTGAGGTGTTGGAATGGGCCTTCACGTGTCTGTCATACCTGTACAAATACCTGTGGAGGATGATGGTGAAGGATATTGACAAGATATACAGGTGAGAAGTACCAGATATCATTAGTTCAGTAGTAATAAACCCTAGTAGATTATATTCTAGTTTAAAAACTGTTCTGTTAGATCTTTGAAACTCAAAAGGAAATGGAAACTTGTTTCCGCCATTAAATAAAAATAGAAAAATTGTGGCTTTTTAATCTCACAATTTCTAGGTTATATCTCACAATTCTCAGAATTGCAAATCTATTTTTCACAGTTGCAAATTATAAACTCGTAATTGTGAGTTTATAGCTTGCTATTTTGGCTTTTTTTTTCTTCTCAAAATTGAGTTTTTATATCTCACAAGTCTGACTTTTTTCTCAGAACTCTGTTTACATATTGCAATTCTGACATTTTTTCTCAGAATTGACTGAGAATTTACAATTCTGTTTTTATTGTTTCCACCACAGAATAAAAATGTTTTTTTAAGTATTTTTGATATCTCAATTTTTCTTGCACTTTCTGAGTTTATATCTCGCAATTCTGAGTTCATATCTTACAATTATGACTTTTTCCCTCACGTTTGCAAGAAAAAAGTCAGAATTGTGAGATAAAGAGTCAAAATTACGCAAATAAGCTTTCATAAAAAGTATGTTCGCATCTCATTCATAATTTGTAGAATTATAATGTATAATTTCTCACTCTTTTGCTTTTCTAAACCAGTCTTTACAGTAAACTTTTGGCGCACAAGAAGGAACACATCCGCAACTTTGCTGCCGAGAGCTTCTCTTTTTTGATGAGAAAGGTGAGTCTTTAACATCCGAGATTATTTTCATCATGTCTTCTGTGTTGTTGCTGAAGCCAACGCGTCTCTCATGTCCCACAGGTGTCCGATTATGATGCTCTCTTCACACTTATGTTCTCCAACCTGTCTGAGAACCCTCAGAAGGCCAGAGGAGCAGGTCAGCTGATCTTCGAGATGTGTCGAGGAGTCTGTAACATGTTCCACTCCTGTGCCACTAAGGTGAGATCACATCGCAGAAAACCAAACATCACACAATGAACATTTGGCGAGTCAGTGTTTAACAGAACTGTCGTTATCAGGCTCTTCCAGTGGTGTTGAAGAAACTTGGCCCAGCAGCCGTTCAGGACGTTGATTTACCTTGGGATTCAATAAAAGAAGCTCTGGATCACATGGCTGAGTCTTCAGCCAACTATGTTGAAAAAGAACACCTGCTGGTCCTGTGGGACATATATATAGTTAGATTTTAATTATATTTATTCATTTATTGTGGTTTGCAGGGCTCTCTGAAAGAAGTTCTTGGAAAGTTAGAGACGAGCAATGCCACTCAGGCTAATGAGCACCTGGAGAGGATTCTGTACATCTACCATACGCTTGTGGAGCATCACAAAGGAGCAAAAATCACAAAACCACAGTCTGTTTGTGAGGTGCGTATGTGTGTGTCTGTAGCACTCAAAGATTGTGGTGTTCTTGAGTGCTGTTGCACCTCTTGATATGTTTTTTCCCTTTTTTTTTTTATATTTAGACACTTCTTCAGTTAGTTCAGGCACCAGGACTGTCCTACTCCTGCCACAGGCTGCTTTTACAGGTGGTCTCGGCTGTGTTAATGGGAGAGAATCTGTCGTTACCTGCCAGCAGCATCCATGAACTGGTGAAAAAGGTTTGTTTAATGTGCACCAACACAAATGTTTTTCCAATCTGATTTCCTGTTGACCTCATTTCCTCTTTGGTCCCTATATGCAGGTCTTTAATAGCGGAATGGACCGAGACCTCATATTGTCATTTACCAAAGAGATGTTTGACATGAAACAGTTTGAGCAGGTCAGTATAAGCAGGACTTGCGGTCTTCAAGAGCAACTTCCAACTCTTTTAATGCTCCTGTGTGTTTCTCCAGTTGTTCTTGCCCAGTTTACTGCAGTATCTGGAGCAGCTCTTCTGCATGGAGGACTACGTAAACCGGCAGCTGGTTCTGGAGCTGCTGGTTGGTCTGATTGTGTCCAAAGCTCCGCCCCCCACTGACGGCTCCATGGCTTTTGAGAAGTACCCATTGGTCTTCACTGTCAGGTAAGAGCTGGGAAAAGCTACTTAATAAAAAAAATACTTTGAATTGAAATATTTCATAGATGAATACACACGTAAAAATTCCAAATTCTGTTTTAGGTCAACTGGACCTGAAAGAGACCAGTCGGTCTCCGTTCCCCAGCAGATTCTTTCTCTCATAGTCATCCCTGCCGATCAACCGCTCTCTGACCTTTCCCACCCCTGGGCTGCACTGGTGCTGCTCCCACATGTCAGGTAAAGACTTAATTACCCACAATTCTCTGTGTGTTATAGGGATAGTTCACTCTAAAATTAAAATTCTTTCATCATTTACTCACCCTCAAGTTGTTCCAAACAGTTGACAGTAGCCATTCACTTCCATAGTATGGAAAAATAGTATGAAAATCAATGGCTACCGGCAGCTGTTCGGTTACTAACATTCTTCAAAATATCTTCTTCTGTGTTCAAGAGAAGAGAGAAACTCGTACAGGTTTGGAACAACTTGAGTGTGAGTAAATGATGACAGAATTTTCATTTTTGGGTGATGTATTTTTTAATGTAATCTTCTTTTGCATCCTCAGCTGATCAGTACTTTTATATATTCCCACTTTTATGATATTTTATCATGCAAATGTGATTTTATAGTAACATTCAAATTACTTTTGCAAGTCACATTTATTTTATAGTGCTTTATACAATACTGATTGTTTCAAAGCAGTTTCACAGATTCATTTTTAGTTCAAACAGTCTGAATGATGCAAAGTACATTAGTAAAGAAGCAAACAAAGAGAACAGTCTCAAGTTAGTTAGTGTTCATTCATTTTGTGTAAATAGTAGTGTGCAGCTAAGTATTTTCTTGCAGACAGAAATGTTGAGATCTATTATTTATGGTCTTTTAATAGTCTTTTTGTGTACAGTTTGATATTTGTTTAAATGTGCAGCAATTAAAATGTTT